TCTGTGGTTCAGGAGTGGCTTAACAAGTGGAATACGACAACTGTAGCCAAATTCCTTGATACGTCTGTGTGTGGTGGCTCTTGATGCCTTGACCCCAGCTTCAGTCCATTCCTTGTGAAGTTCACTTAAATTCTTTAATTGATTTTGCTTGACAATCCTCATAAGTCTGCGGTTCTCTCGGTTGGTTGTGCGTCTTTTTCTTCCACACTTTTTCCTTCCACTCAACTTTCTGTTAACATGCTTGGATACAGCACTCTGTGAACAGCCAGCTTCTTTGGCAATGAATGTTTGTGGCTTACCCTCCTTGTGAAGGGTGTCAATGATTGTCTTCTGGACAACTGTCAGATCAGCAGTCTTCCCCATGATTGTGTAGCCTAGTGAACCAAACTGAGAGACCATTTTGAAGGCTCAGGAAACCTTTGCAGGTGTTTTGAGTTGATTAGCTGATTGGCATGTCACCATATTCTAATTTGTTGAGATAGTGAATTGGTGGGTTTTTGTTAAATGTGAGCCAAAATCATCACAATTAAAAGAACCAAAGACTTAAACTACTTCAGTCTGTGTGCAGTGAATTTATTTAATACACGAGTTTCACAATTTGAGTTGAATTACTGAAATAAATGAACTTTTCCACGACATTCTAATTTATTGAGATGCACCTGTAAAGTTAATAGATTACACTATTAGGCTACTTAACTAGAGAACTAACATAATCTATAAAGGTGCAAAATGCATTTACTTGCACATATTTGAGAATCGAGATATTTCATGATATATTTTGGGAATATTTTGAATAAAAAATAAATAAATAAAACCCCTCCTGAAAAAAAACAATAGACACCATTAGAACATTTGTAATGGTTTTACTGGTTATAATATGACTTGTATGGGTTTGACTGGAAACTGTAATGGACCCTGTTGGTCTCTACTGGTAATTACTGTCTTCTATTGGTGGCTTGTTAAAATCAATAAATACTAATAGAATATGTCCCAAAACACACAACATAAAACAATTTTTAATGGTTTTATTGGTTAAAAGTTGATGGTTTGTAATGTTTGTAATGTTATTTGATGTGGAAACCACATCATTTTTTTCAGTAGGGACATAAGCCTATATCAGTTTGTGGCTGCTGACCTCTGACACTTCAATACAAAATTATTTGCCAAATAAATGAAACATGATGAAACATTCATTTTAGTTTTAATTGTTATAGATTACTTCTAGAGATTGCAGCGATACATGGTGAAAAATGACTGAATAAATAATAGGCTACTTAAAGTAGGTTAAGATGAATTTTAAAATTGTGCCCCCTAAAAGCACAAGTGGCCCCTGTCTGGCCTCCCCAGTTACTGTGGTCTAGAACCGCCCCTGGGGGTCTCCAACACGTTGCTCACAAGCTACTGCCTGATTAAACGTAGCTCGCCAAGACATGATACTTGACATATCGGCCATGAGGTTATTTTATTGTAATTATCCCATTTCGTATTTTAATTATCATTAAACCCGTATTTTATTATTGCGATTTGAAAAACTCACAGTAAATACTGCTCAGCTTTAATCAAAGTCTCACGCAGGCGCAACACGCAATAGTTTCGTTTTGTGTGAAAACATGACTGAAGGCAGACTGCTGAGGGAAATTATATGAAAGAATGTATGATTCAATTATTTGTATGAATGCATAATAGGAAACGTCTCGGTTACGTATGTAACCCTCGTTCCCTGAAGGAGGGAACGGAGACGTCACATCGGTGACAGACGAATTGGGATCTCGCTTAGAGAGACCAACCCACTTCGAGTGTAAACTAAACGAGCCAATGCACATTGGCATGCGATTATTGCATCCAGCTGCTTCTCCAACACGTTGCTCACAAGCTACTGCCTGATTAAACGTAGCTCGCCAAGACATGATACTTGACATATCGGCCATGAGGTTATTTTATTGTAATTATCCCATTTCGTATTTTAATTATCATTAAACCCGTATTTTATTATTGCGATTTGAAAAACTCACAGTAAATACTGCTCAGCTTTAATCAAAGTCTCACGCAGGCGCAACACGCAATAGTTTCGTTTTGTGTGAAAACATGACTGAAGGCAGACTGCTGAGGGAAATTATATGGAAGAATGTATTATTGAATTATTTGTATGAATGCATAATAGGAAATCGACTGTCTTCGGAAAAGTTTTGATGGCATTTGCTTTCCATCTTCTCTCCGTGTAATAAAGCAGTGTTTAGCAGCTTTGTTTACAGAGGTTACCGTGGAAACAGCTCTGTTCTGCTGTTCATAAGTGCCACCTGGGGCCGGTTGCATAAACCGTTTAGACTAGTCTTAAAAAGTTAGTCATCTAATTTTTTTTTCTTCAAGACTGGTCACAACTTTTTAAAGTCAGTTACAAAAAGGTAGATTGGTTTAATGTGAATCCAAAAAGTAAGACTGATTACCCCTTGGCTAACTGCTAGTTGGTCAAACTAGTTTGTAAGACAGGATTACCCCTTGGCAACTGCTAGTTGGTCAAACTAGTTCTTAAGACACAAGGTGCGTTCCAAATCGCGCACTAATACACTATTCTATGACGTTTTGTAGTATAAATAGTGCGAGTAGTGCGTTCACACTGAAAATTCCAAAAAGAAAAAGTGCACTTTAAATGATGCACTTAAATAACTGAAAAAATGAAGTGTGGAATGTTGAACACTTCATGCACTCAACTGTCGCAGTTTTAATTACATAGCGAAGGGGGAGGGGCTATCAGACTCCGATTATTAATCACAAAATAACCTTATAAAATTCATACACTACATGGTTGAGTATATAGTGCACAAGTACACAGTGTATGAGGGCATAATGTGTCATTTGGGACACAGTAACAGTCTTAAAGGGATAGTTCACCTTCAGTTGCTGGTCCCCATTGACTTCCATAGTATGGGGGGGGGGATGGGGTGGGACACTATGCAAGTCAATGGGGACCAGCAACTGAAGGTGAACCCTAACCGTAACCCTAACCCATGTGATTGCGAATTCAGTTCTCTGTAGTAGTTTATTGCACTTGAATGGTCAAATACACACACAGTTATTCCAAAATGCCCAATTGTGTTTACGTGTATTTATCACTTAAATAAAAATAGCTGGGTGAAAACCGGATGTGTATCAGTATATTGGGTCTGTGCTTTCAGTGCAAATTTACTCGCTGCTGTCTGTCATTAATGTTAATTAAACAACAAAACGAAGGAAAGAACACTCACTGCTGTTTTGTATCTTTAAAATGAAACATATCATATTCATATCTGAGACAGTGAAGACTATGCAGCGTTTTAAATATTACACTTTTTTCACATTTTAGACTTTTAATTTTACAATTTTGCAATTTCTGTAGTATTTGTTATTACATTGCTGTATTATTATTATTATTACCGTATTTGTTATTACTGTGGCTGCTGATGCCCATCCCCTCTACCCCACCTTCATGGGTCGCCTCTCCGCCTGCATCTTTGAGTGGGATTCAGGGGACCTCAGGCTGCTGCGGCAGGCAAAAAGACAACAGCTGATGCAGGAGGGTGTACCAGCAATTACTGATCTCCTGGTGGACAAAAGCATCAGTAAAAAGGAGCTGAGCCTTTACTGCCTTTACTGACGCACGGTGAGGAGGCGACCATACGCCTCATTTAGAGCAGAGGTGTAAAGAGTACCTAAAAACCATACTTGAGTAAAAGTACAGATACCTTACAGTGAAATTACTCCACTACACGTTACAAGTCACCAATTCCAAAACAACTTGAGTAAAAGTCTTAGAGCATCTGATTTTAACAGTACTTAAAGGTCCCATGGCATGAAAATGTCACTTTATGAGGTTTTTTAACATTAACATGAGTTCCCCTAACCTGCCTATGGTCCCCCAGTGGCTAGAAATGGCGATAGGTGTAAACCGAGCCCTGGGTATCCTGCTTTGCCTTTGAGAAAATGAAAGCTCAGATGGCCCAATCCGGAATCTTCCCTTTATGTCGTCATATGGGGGTGGACACACTTCATACTACGGGCTTTCTGGCTACAGAATCGCAAAGACTGATTTGCAACTATCCCTTAAATACTACCAGAACAAAAACTAAGAAATCTTTAAATCAGTTGTAAAAACATAAAAGACCTTTTGTTTGTTAGGTTCTGTGATCCAGGGTCACACCTGGCTGGAGAGAGATAAACATTCTCACAGACCCCTAAAGGGGGACACACCCCCTCCTCAACACAACACAATTCTACAAAAGTTTTAAATCTTTTGGGGGAAGAGAGGGAGAGGCAGAGCGGGCAGGGGGAGAAGGGGGTCGTAAATGGGCGAGGAGAGAGGTGTTGTTTGCTCTCTTTGAAGATTTCTTCTCCAGATAAGTTTTATTGTTTTATTGCATGGCATCTGTTTTATTGCATGTGAGTTCCTGAGTATTGGCTTCATGAAGAGTTCATTTCATAAGGAAATAATTTCACTCCTTTCAAGACTAATCAAGGGGAACCAATGAACAAACGGACTACAAACTGACTACAAACACCACGGGAGACAGAGAGTGACATAAAAGTCCAGGGCAAGGCACATAGAGCATGAAACAAAAACAAGAAAGAGTTGATTTGTGAAGAGAGCAATCACGTTTATTTTCTAAAACCAAAATAAAACTGAACACCTCAAAATTACAAAACCTGATTCACAAATACTTGCCAAGGAACTCGCATTCACATAAAGTAGCCTTGTTGACAAGTTTGGGTGAGAAGGGCAAAACGCACAAGATGCAGTACTTTCAGTGACCTGTAATAGGCAGTATCACATCTTTTGTAGCAGAAATAAACTGCTGCAGAAAAAGCTAGGTCCATGCAAAATGTAATGTGTAACTGCAACACTCATTTCAAATGTAGTAGAGTAAAGAGTACAGATACTCATTCAAAAACGTAGTGAAGTAGAGAGTAAAAGTTGTTAATATCTTTGATACTCAGTACAACTACAAAGTACCCGAAAAGATACTCAAGTACAGTAACTAATTACATTTACTCCAATACTTTACACCTCTGATTTAGAGGCTGCTCCAGGAGCTTGGGGGGACAAATTGGAGGGACCTTATGGGTGTTCCACTTCTGGATGAGGTGCGCATGGAGCGCAGAAACGCCATGTCAGGTGCATCCAGCACATGCCGGGTGTGCCTCTCTACACTGAGGTAGGCACCACTACAAAGGCGGGGCTCATCCTGACCAGGTATCGCTGTGCCAGAGGGTCCACATCCCTGGAATCTTTCCACTGCCACTTGAACAGGTTCATTCCAGGCATGTCTTTTTTCATTGGTATAACTGTTTTTTTTTTTTTCTTTTTCTAGGAACCAGTGCCAATGCACTGAACTTCCAGCTCTATCTCCTGGAAGGCCTGAACAGGTGGAATCAGGATCGGGGGACTGTGGCAGTGACCAGCACACCAGCATCAGTTCTTACCTACTCTGTGGATATGGCCCACTGTGTCAACACCAACAGCCTGACATTGTTTGGCAGGGCTTTTGTGCCAACTTTCAGGCCACTTGCTGAATACACTGGTATGTCTTACAATTTCACAAAGCTTAAGTCAGACCATTCTGTTTTTGTGTCAAAAAAAAAAGGTAAAATCAAATAAATAAATAAATAATCCAGGCTAGGAAAGAGCAGAGACAAAGCATTAGTTTGTCTATATGAAGAGATTTATTTTATTTGTATCATTCATCTATTTAATTATTGTGAATTGCTTTAAAATTCCAATTTATTTTAGTTATTTAAAAGATACAAAAAAGTTACATAAAATATATTTCAATTTCAGAGAAATGTGCAGCATTTTGTCTGAGAAATAATAAAAGGACACTTTTCCAATTATAAAGTCTTAAATCTCATTGTTAATTTTTTTTTGAAAATATCATATTGTAAAACCAGTATCATGAATCGTATTGCATTGTGAGTTGAGTGAATAATACTTTTATTCCCATTACACTGAGTTGCAAATATAAAAGTCTGATTACATTTGCATCTATGAATATATTTAGTCATTTATGTGTGTACTTATGTGTACTTATATTATGTGTGTACTTATGTGTCTTTTTGCTCCTTTTCATAGGAGAGCTGCTTGGTGTTGACTACCTCCTGAGTCTGACTGGACAGCCCCTGACGGTGGACCCCGAGGAGACAGAGGACATGCTGGAGGATGTGAATGAAGGCGAAGATGAAGAAGACGAGGGCTTCGGGGAAAACCATGACATTGCTGTGTCAAGTCTCTCTGATGACACAAGCTTCTCTGTCTCCTCCCGCTTTCTACCCTCCTCTGAGTCTCTTTTCTCCACCCTGGCTCCTTGTTGCAGTCAGGTGCCTCAGCATGTCCTGACGAGTCTGCGGTATGTAAATACCTTATTATTTCTCGGAGTATCTTGTGGAGCTTAGGAACCAGCCCTCTCTGGCCCTCACCAACCAGCAGGTCAGGAACATTCCAATTATAATCTGTCTTAAATCTCATTGTTAATTTTTTTTTGAAAATATCATATTGTAAAACCAGTATCATGAATCGTATTGCATTGTGAGTTGAGTGAATAATACTTTTATTCCCATTACACTGAGTTGTAAATATAAAAGTCTGATTACAGTTGCATCTATGAATATATTTAGTCATTTATGTGTGTACTTATGTGTACTTATATTATGTGTGTACTTATGTGTCTTTTTGCTCCTTTTCATAGGAGAGCTGCTTGGTGTTGACTACCTCCTGAGTCTGACTGGACAGCCCCTGACGGTGGACCCCGAGGAGACAGAGGACATGCTGGAGGATGTGAATGAAGGCGAAGATGAAGAAGACGAGGGCTTCGGGGAAAACCATGACATTGCTGTGTCAAGTCTCTCTGATGACACAAGCTTCTCTGTCTCCTCCCGCTTTCTACCCTCCTCTGAGTCTCTTTTCTCCACCCTGGCTCCTTGTTGCAGTCAGGTGCCTCAGCATGTCCTGACGAGTCTGCGGTATGTAAATACCTTATTATTTCTCGGAGTATCTTGTGGAGCTTAGGAACCAGCCCTCTCTGGCCCTCACCAACCAGCAGGTCAGGAACATTCAGCTTTCTCTACTTTCCCTCTTTGACCTGTCATACTTCTCATTTGTTATATATTATATGCTCTGCTTGCTTAGGTGAACAGTATTGTTGCTCTTTGGCAAAACCTGCTGGATTACGATAAGCAGAGGGTGGTGTTTGCTGCCACGGGGAGGTTCAGATCCCCCAAGAAGAGACAGGAGTTCACACCAGGGGTGGAGAGTGTGAAGAGGCATGCACTCACCACCGTTGCCCCAATTGCCCAGTGGCCAGATTGTTGTCACCTGATCGAGACGAGAATATTTTTGTCAGGCTCTGTGCCATCCACCAGAGTCCCAAGAAGAAGGGGACCGGCACAGTGTCCAGATGGGACCTTATCCTAGAGGACTACAGGAAGATTAGGCGGTGCATTCTGGTCAGTGCAACTGTAATGCAGCAGACCATCCTGCAGCTGGTGGACCTGAGCCATACCACCTTGGTTCAGTGGCACAATAAGAGGGTGAAAATGCAGGACAATGCAGTAGTGATGCAGGGGCTGCAACTGCCTAGCTGCTTGTCTTTTTTTCAGGAAACAGGCAGACTAGAATAAATAGCAACACAGTAGTGAACAATAAACTCTAAAAATTACAAAACAAAAATTAATAATTAATCCAAAGTTTGTTTTAGCCTTTAAAAATGTTCAAACTTTGGATTATGAATTTTTGTAAATTTATTGTTCGCTACTGTGTTGCTATTTAT